CAGTCAATCTCTGGACCTGGCATAAACCACTAAAAACATTTGACTGAATCCCTGATCAAAAGGACAAAGTCAGCCCCATTTGCTATTGTGGCACCACTTGCCCAGCAGGCCTGTGACCTTGTTAAACATGACTGCCATTTCACTCTTCTGAGGTCATCCCCAGGACTGGAAATTGCTGGAAGCTTGAGGAGAACTAACCACTCCCTATAGCCACAGGCAGAAGATAACATTGGAACAACCTGCAGCCTCAGGTTAAAACACCCAAACAGCCCAGGGACCTCACAAGAGCTACACCCCCCCCCCCTTTTTAAATCACATTATAATCCAATAAAAGCTCAAAGCTCCCCCACCCCTCAAGGATTGTGTATTTCTCCACACCTTGCTCCTCTCCTACATTGGAGAGTGAATAAAAACTTTATTCTCTACACTTGCTTCTCTTTGTGAATTCTCTCACAGTCTGATCATGGGATCACCTTAACATTGACAACATCAGAGACGTTTCAACCTGCAAAAGAAGCCCTGAGCCTGACATCTAGAAATCTTAGTGGCTCAGAAACAGATTTATAATTTGCTTCCAATCATTAACCTTTTTTTTTGTCTCCACAGAAACACCTTATTAATTACCTGATTGCTTGCTCCATGTAGGCCTAATGTTTGCAGTTCACCTGCAAGACCACATCCTGAAACGAGACACAACTGCTTACATGAACTGACCCATTCTCAAGACTGAGGCTAGTTTAATAAAATCTAGAACAATCTATCAACATTGCTTCTGGAATGTGAAACTTCTTGAGGTTTCAAAGATGGGACTGTAGGGGAGCAGAAATTGCCACCTCAAAATATGCCTCCTTGGGATAGTGATTATTTTAGACCGGTTAATTTTAAGAAACAGCAGACAGGGGAGAAACTCTGAAAACCAAGTAGAAGTTACCCCTTATAAAAACTAATTACATTATAAGGGAAATCTCTATTTGTGGAGGTGTTTCCCTCATTGTACCAGTGTACCAGGCCTGCCTTCACTGTCAAAGGAGAAGGGTTGGACTTAAATCTACATAACAATTTTATTCTTGTTTGTTGCGCTTTTATGGATAACCTCCTATAAACGGACTCTCCATTTCCAACCTCTTTTGCCTTTAGCTGAGGTGGTATTTAAGGTGATGACTTCTGCCATTTTGGCAAGGTGCTCAGTTTTCCTGGGTTTCCCCCATGTACGGAGAAGGTAAGCATACATGTTATTAAACTTTTATTTCTTTCCTGCTAATCTGCATCATGTCAATTTGATTATTAGACCAGCCAGAAGTACCTTGAAGGTGTTATAGAGGAAACCACAGGCCCAAAATAGCATCACTGGTGCTAAAAGCCCCTGATACCAAACCTAGACTCAATACCTGGTCTAAGTACATTTTCATTCTCTCTGCAAACATAATTAACCAGTCTGGACTTTTCTGGTCAACACCAATAAGGTAATCTGTCACATAGGCCCTATATATCCCCCAGAGAAAGAAGAGGCATCTCAGTTACACAAACAACCACGGAGATGTCAAGTACAGCACAGGCAATATGTTCAATGATATTGTAATAACTGTGTATGGTATTACATGGGTACGAGATTTATCAGGGTGATCAGTTCATAAGGTATATAAATGTCTAATCACTATGTTGTACACCTGAAACTAATATATAATCATATGTCAACTGTAATTGGAAAATGAATTAACTTTTAAAAAATTATTCTCCTTTAAATAAAGACCAATATAGGAATAAAAATAAAAAAGGAAAATGTGTATGATAAAAACCCTTCCCATTCTCCCCACTCCCTTCAAAAAAAAAAAATGATGTCCTGGCCCCAAACTAATCTTTTTCCTTTTATTAATGGCTCCTTTGCCCAAACCTTCTTCCTATAAAAATCTTCCATTTTATAAACCCCTGAGCGCCCCCCAGGTGCTAGATGGGATGTTGCCCCATTTATGAATATTTAATAAAGCCAACCGGATGTTCGAATTAACTCAGTTAAATTTTTTCTAACAAAGGATAGAGAAAAATTTTTCCACACACCCCCCAAAAATCGTAAGTACAAACTTTTACCATAAAGCCAAGCTAATTAAACACAATGGATTTGATGACTAGACGCTGTTTGACTCCTTCTAGGGAAGGTCTAGATAGAATTCCTGACCCATGCCTTCAACACAGACTTGTTGAACTCTTCGTGTGCATCAGTTACTTTGCTAGATTTCTCTCCTCTATGTCTCTCAGTGGAAAATGGAACATGGTGAAAGTACAAGGGACAAGGGGCACAAGATAATCTTAAATTTTGCTATAGTTCCCAGCACCTAGGAAACTGACACATAGTAGGTACTCAGTAAATATCTCTTGGATGAATCACACAGACATTTGCTACACTTCATTGTAACTGTATGTGACAAAAGCAACTGAACCAACAAGCTATGTGCAAAGGAAAGAGACAAATTCCTTCCCCAAAAGCAATGGGAAGCCCTTCACTGAAGGAGCTGCTTTTCACCAGGCAGTGGCTGCGGGAAAGCCATGTGGACCCGAGTATGCCCTAATCAAAGCTGGAACAGATGGCCTGAGCTACTTTCCAATTCAAATTCCTACCAAGGTTTTATTTCCTGGGGTTTTGTTGTGTTTCATCATCTCCTTCAAACCTTCAACTATAAAGGGGGTACATACACAGGGGTTGTTGTGCTTCTCTACCAGGAAGCTAGCTAAAAGCAAACAGCAGGTAACAGAGAAATAAATACTGTGGAATGTTTTATGTACTAGGCAGTAAGCCTGTAAGACTCTTAGGCCTTCTGAGAGAGAAAAATAATCTGAGAACACCCTCCAAGTCCACTAGAAACAAGTCACTTTAAAAACAAATTGCTATCCTTTATTTTTCTGCTTCTCTAAACGGGTTCATGAAAAAACTACTTGATTCACAATGAGGGGTGTGGGGTGGGGGGAGAGGTAATCTAAACATTTCATAGTCATTTCTTACTCCAGGGAGAAACACTGGGGAGTTAAGAGGGTGAGGGGAGGGAGTTTAAAGGTATTTGAAAGAGAATGAAAATTAATATTCAGAACAAGGGGAAATTAAAATGAAACAAAAAATGAGAATAAGAGAAAAGAGCAAGTGGAAAATTTTCAAAACCTCTAACAGCAGAAATACACCACTTCCCATCATATTCTCTTATAAAAATGGAAAGGACCACTAATCCAGCCCCAGAATGGACAGTGTGAAGCGCTTCATGCCAGAAGGAAACAAGTCACAAAGTCAGGTATAGAGAATGCTAAGAAACGGGCTCAAACCCCCCCCCCCATCATTTCCTCCCGTCACTCTACCTCCATCTCCCTACCATATCACAAAACCCTTGAGTGGGGAACCAGACTTCCCCTTCACACTGCTGTCCCTGAAAACTGAGAACCATCCCAAACACTGAAAGAATAAAATGCATTTTAATGTGCTATTAAAATTAAAATAGACCTTATAATTGGTGTAACCCCCCCCCCCAAGAAAATTCAAGCTGTAACATGGCACACACAACTGTTCCTTCTGAGAGATGGACGTGATGGGGGGCGGGGCAGGGAGAATTGTTGAAAATCAGAGTAAAAATCTCCTTTTAGCCCCGACCGGTGTGGCTCAGCTGGCCCGGCGTCCTCCCGCACTCCCGCACAACGCACGCACCACGGAGGGTCGCAGGGTCGCCGGTGGATTCCCTGTCAGCGCACTCGTAGGTTGCGGTTTAGGTCCCCCACCCGGGCACTTACCAGAGGCGAGTATCAATGCTTCTCTCCCTCGCTTTGTCCCTCCCTTCCCCTCTCCCTAAAAATAAATAAATAAAAATCTTTAAAAATATATAAAACTTGCTTTTATTACCTGCTTAAGAGATAAGAAAATCAGCCTTTGAGACTCTTAATTCCCCATTTTTGAGCCTGCTTTCTAGCAGAGTCCTCCACCCACCTCTTCAAACTAACATGTGCTTCTGTAATGAAGATCCCTGAGGAATAACCACCTTGGACAACAAGAAGAGAGGCGACTGTCAAATACCTCGTTGCAATAACAAGTTTTCATAAAGGAGTTGCTAATTATGAGCAGCAGCATCCCTGGAGGGTTAGGCACCTCACGGCGACACAACAGCCACCTCGCTCCCTTTAATGCCAGTTAATGAGCTGGTGTAGACCTAGGGGCGGAAGGAGAGACAGCAGGGCCATTCTGAAACCCCAAGAGATCAGGCCGGCTATATCCCCAAATTCATCGTGCAAGCCAGGGGAGGCCTTCTTAAAAAGCCAGTTCTGTGGAACCTGGATTCAATGTGGAATTTATCAGATCGAGTCTCCTGACCATCAGGCCCCGGCTTGGGGAGGAGGGGACTTCGTGGTGACAATTTACCTTAGAAGACGACCGGGAACAGACAGGCTTTTCAGAGCCACCCAGGGCTCCGTCTGGAGGCTGGAGGGGACACAGGGTCTAGAAGGGCGCGCAGCTCCCATCACCAGGGCGCCACAGGTCCCCCGCCCCCACCCCCCCACCCCCGTCACGTGCAGTCGGGTGGACTCCCACAGGTGGGCGGCGTGTGGCCTGGGCGAGACCCAGGGGGGGCAGGATGGGCCAGAGGCGCTGCGGAGGGGGTGGTTTTGCCTTAAGGAAGCAGAGCGAGAGGGGAGCTCAGCGTTGCCAGCTACCTGGTTCTCTCTCTCTCAGCTGGTGGTTACCGGCTTTTCCCCCAGGCAGCAGGAGCCCGGTGGAGAGAGGAGCGGCGTGCACCTACCGACCTCCTCCCAGCGCGCCTCGGCCTTCTCCCCCAGCGCCCGCACGGCCGCGGCCCACCGGCTGCATGCGCCCTGGCACGTAGGAGCCTGCACGACCAGGGTGGGGTGGGGGGCGGAGGAAGAGCTCCCGGAGGCCGAGGAGACCTGGCCCCTCTCCGGCCATTCGTCTGCCCGGCCTAACTAGGGGATCCCGCTCAGGTTCACACCCGCCCCTGGCCCCCACACCCCCTCACCCGTGTTGGCTCTGATGTTCTCCCGCAAGAAGTGGCCGCTGGAGAGATGCTGGAGTCCAAAGTTCTGGGCGATCCTCTGGCACACGGTGCCCTTGCCAGAGCCGGGCGGCCCGAGGATGACTGCGCGCAGGAGTTTGGAAGCCATTGCCTTCTCGAGGAGTGGGGCGGCCGCACGGGCAACCCGGACAGCGGCCTTGGAGAAGCCCCGGGAACTTTGTTTCTTCGGGCCCCTGCCTCTGACACCCTCTGCTCGCTCCAGGACTCGCCGTCTGTCCCTGCAGGGGAAGGAGAGACTTTTGAGACGGCCCCTCCCCTCAGCCCAGAGGAGGGCGGCTGGAAGGCGGAGTGAGGCGCCACGCTACACCTCCCCGCCCTCCCCGCGCCCACGCCCCGGGAGTGGAGTAGTCCGGGGACCCCGCCCCTGGCATGGACCGCCTTCGCCTTCGGGCTCAGAGGTCCGCAGCCAGTCCCACCTACATCCCTCCCTCCCTCTCGCTCCCCACCACGCGCCCAAGGCAGGGGTCCACCCCGCACAGTGCGGAAGCTGGGTGGGCAGTCACTCCGAGTGCCCCCGGGACCTGCGGCCTGACCCCTGCCCGGGTACTCGCACGTGGGCAGTGTTTAGTCCACGCCTCCGCTCCTCCCAGGCGGCTGTCACATCCCATAAAGTCGCCCTGGATGCCTCCCACACAGAGGACTCAGCGACCACCTCCGCTCCGTGTGGACAGAGGTGCTTCCCCACCCAAAGCAGTCACACAAGCACACACCCCTGCTGGGACACAGTGCTCGCTGGGACAGGCCTCAAGCCAGGATCCCGCTGGGCGGTGCCGCCTCCGCCCGCCCCGACTCCGGGTCACGGCCAGCGGCGTGGGGCTCGCGCCTTACGTAAGCCGAGGAGACCAGCTCCGTGCAAGACGCCGCCAGCACCCGCTCCCCTACCCGGTGCTCTGCCCCTCGCCTTCCCAGGCTTACGGGCTCCACAAGACCCAGGAGAGGCTGTGGGGGCGAAGGGAGGTAGAGAAGACTCAAGGGACAGAAAACCCGTTTTCGTGGTCTCCTGGGGACCAGATCTCCCACTCAAGGGAAAGAAAAACACAACTTACTGAGTGAGCGCCTACTGTGCAGCACATTGTGGGCTAGGTGATTTTCTTACCCAACGACCATTCCTGGTAGGGTTTTCACAAGTGAGGAAAGGAGACCTGGAGTATGGCCATTCATTTCATTCATTGAGTCATTCATTCAGCAAACGTTTTTTGAGTGCCTAATGTGTGCCGGACAACGGCGCTTGACATATAGCTGTGAACCAGAGATGGAGTCCTGCCCTCCTGGAAGCCACATTCCAGCGGGCGTTTTGATCCCTTGTCTGCCTGACTCCAAACCCCAGGCTCCTTGGGGCAACAGAAAGGAAGGGATGACCACTCACCTGTGCTCAGGATCTTATAACCATCTGATTCCAGGACGTCAGGGCTACACTGTTGACACTATACTTACAATTCATCAAGTCCCAATGGGTGCTAGCTCCTCCCTCCCCTTCCTTACATATCCAAATTCATATAATCTTAAATCAGTTCCAACCCCACGCAGCTTTCATCCATCCTCACAGCTGCCAGAGATACTGCTCTGAACTGCCAATTATTTTCTATTATTTCACCTCAGATATTATTGTCCCTTCAGGATAAAGTTAAAAAATAATCCAGCACAGGAACACAGATACCTTCCATATACCTTTGCTTTCCACCAGCTCCCCTTCTCTGCACTTCTTCCAGGGTCTTCCTGCCTTTGGGAAATCCATTACAAGGTTCTGAGTGCCACCAACCATACCTTGCAGATGGGGAAGGACAGTGTGCAGAAGAGCGTCCTCTATATTCCTGGCTGCTCTATGTTAGGAGGCTGGGGGTGGGAGGGAAGAGCCTGGCACAAGATCCTTTCCCCACCTCTGGCAGTCCTTTTCCTCCACACACAGCTAGGCAGCAACTAGTGTCTGGCTACCTGGGAAACACTCATAAGTCACCAATGCCAGGGCAGAGTTAATTCCACAGGCTCATCCCCCTCTCCAAAATATCTGAGCTTCTGTAGATCTCAGGGGCTTGTTAAACTGACCCCTTTCAGCCCTTCACCTGGGAACAAAGAAGGGGTAGGAGGAGTGTAATCTCCCCTCTTCTTCCTGGCACATGCCCTGTAATATATAGCAGATATTTGGTGCTGGTTCTCGGAACTGCACTTGCCTCAGAATCACTCCATGGGCTTGTTAAAACAGATTAGTAAGAGCGACCCCATTGTTGAGTTTCTGATTCTGTGGATCTATGGTGGACATTTCTAACAAGCTTCCAGGTAATGTTGTGGCTGCTGATTTGGAGACCACACTTTAAAAACCACTGCTCTAGTGAAATGAGCATTGAGACATGGGAGCTGGTAGTCCCTTAATTCCTCTGCCTGCTATGGGATGTTTGGCCCCTAAACTCTTCTCTTTCTAAAATGAGATTGAATTTAGTACATTTCCAAAGGTCCTTTGGTGTCTATCAAGAACTGATTCTGTAAGTTCCCAGAGGAAATACAGCTTCTAGCCTCCATAAAAACCTTGCCTTATCACCAAATTCTTTTGCCTACTTTTGAAATGTCTTTACCAACACATATGGTGTCATAGCGTGATGTTGGCCACTCACACGGTCCCAGGACTTTGTGTTTAGGAGTCTAGGAGCTTATATTGTGAAGCAGAAAGAAGAGTTGGGACATAGGTAAACTTAGAGAACCCCGGTGGGAATAGAACCTAGCATTTCACAAAAGAACACTCAAAGGGCCTTCCTTGTGTGCACAGCCACATCAGCGCCAAGTAGCTCAGCTGCCATTTGGAACCTGGACAACCAGAAGAAACGGGTTTTGGAGTCAAACACCCCTGGGATTAGATTGCAATGGCACCATTTACAAAGTCTGCAAGCTCTTGACCTCTGCCAGCCTTTGTTTGCTTATCTGAAAAGGGAGATGATACTTACCTCATAGACTTGTGGTAAGGCTGAAATGAAATAATACTTATAAAGGATTTACCACAGTGCTGGGCATATAATAAATATTTCATCATAAATATCATGGCCATTTTAACAATGGGACAATCACCTAGCCTCTCTGATCTCAGTTCCCAAACTGTGAGGAATAAATGAGTTAATATGACAAAGAACCTAGCAGGTTCCCTGGCCTCAGGAAATGATAGCTATTGTTATTTCGTATACTCATGCAATCATCTTCTGATTTCCTTTGTCTAAGGTTTTAAACCCATTTACAATTCCTCACAATCTACAAAGTAATATGCATCTATGTGTTTGTTTCCCCTGTAAACAAATGAAACACTAACAGCAGAGGCCAAATTTTAGTCATCATTCTATCCTCAAAAATACACGGCACTTTGCCTGTAATGAGTATTTTGTTAATGTTGGCGAGTCCCCTTCCTCCTCCCAACACATATAACACTAAGCAGTGTAGCCTCTCTGCAACTTCACTAGATGGTAATATGAAGACTACATTTACACATTCCTTCATCAGATTCTCACAAGCTTGCATAGATGGTAATGTCCCTGCTCCTATTTTACAGATGAGAAAACTAAGGCTCTAAGAGGTTAGGTGAACCTCCCAAGGTCACAGAGCTAGTAGGTGGTACAGCAGGGAGTCAATCCCAGATACTCTCGTTTTGAGTATAGCATTCTTGTTTGTTAAACCTCAGTCATTTCTATAACACTTTCATAATTTTGCCATAACCTTGTCTCACCTAGCTCTTAACTGCTTATCATGCTTTTTTAATATTGACTCAATTTGCTTAAATAATTTATTTAAAAAAGAAACTATATGTAAGTTGCTAACCATAAATAAAAGGATAAACTAAAATGAACACAGGAAAATAAAATAGGGTTGCCATATTCCAACTGAAATCTTTGACCTGTTGAGTTTCTGGGTTTAATCTTTTTTGTTGTTGTTAACAGAGTCTTTTAATTATTATTTTAAAGAATAAATGGCAATTGTTTTCCATTACAGTCCACATTCAATATTATTCTGTATCAGTTTCAGGTGTACAGTAAAGTGGTTAGATAATCATATACTTAACCAAGTATACCCACCTGACTGAGTTTAATCTTCATTTAAAATAAAAAGGGGGTCCTTTACCAAGAGTTAGGGAAGTAGTTAAGACATATAGCATCTAAACGAGACTTTGTGTTTATCTGTAATTGCATAGCTCAAAATGAAATTAGGTAAGGAATGCATTTTTTGTTATAGTACAACTTATGTATTTCAAATGGACAAGATTAACATCTTTTACAGTATCTTAAGATAAATTGTCTTTGAATGAGAGCTTCCTTTCCAGTATTTTGAGCTCTACAAGACGTATCTAGAAAATTTACTGCTGTGGAAAATGAAGACTGCTTAAATTGAATGGGGGAAGGGGTGGGCCTGTGGTTTTTCTTTTTGGTTAATTGCTGTAACACCATCCTTCAGGTGGCTGAGGGAGTTTTATGTTTCCTTTAGACATCATTAGGTGCCAAAGCTCCTGCAGGACAACTTTGATACTACACGAATTCTGACATTTTGGTAGCACAGATATGGCTGTTGGGTCCACCACTCCATTAGAACAATTAACTCCATTCATATTAATTTTTGTTATAAATGATACAGAAGAGGGTTGCTTCTGGGCATTTAGGTCCACATTCTATTTTAAGGCTATATATTCAGTTTTCTTTAACTGTCTAAGTCCATGGTGGCTGCCATCTTGTGTGGAATACTTTTTTAATATTCAGCTTATTATTTGAAAACAGATGCATGTACCACATAGAATTATCCCTAACATCATATCAAATTATCTTTTGCATCATCAGGGATGCATGTCACATACTCTTCTGTACCTCAAAGTGTACCTTTGAAATGTAATTTACTATAACTCACCAGCATTTTTAAATGATGTGATCACCCCAACCAGGGTTTATAGATATGATACTGACCCCACATAAGTTAAAGCCCCGTTCTTCTAGCTATCACTTCTTGGTCACTTTCTATCATAATTTCTGGCTTATTTCTGTTGTATTTGTTGGAAACAGTAGGATGTTTGAACATAGTGGCTTCATCTTTTTCATCATGGCCTCTATATAGGTAGATACAGGGTGGAGACATAGAGAGTAAATATTATTGAATGACTGACTTGCTGCTGAATGAATGAATGGGTAGTTATTTCTCTGTTTGCCTTCTGTGAAGCTCCTCTGGATATACAGAAGAAAGGCTAGTGACTTGGACATGGCAAGATTGACAAAAGAAAGCTAAAAAATAAGAGGAGGAAG